AAATTTTCTAAAAGAGGAGGGTACAGTAGAAAGGAAGAAAAGAAAGAGCCCCCGCAGAAAACAAAAAATACAAATAAAAATAAACAGCCCACAGGCAGAAAGCAGGCCACGGAGGTGTTTTGCTCCACCCACATTTTTTTTTTAATCTTTTGAACCAATCAGCAAAATGTAAAAACCAAGAAACTTCATATTCAAGAAAGAATCTGTATATCCACATTTTCTTTAACAAGTAAAAAAAGGAAGGAAGAAACAGAAGCTGGCAGCACCAGACTAGGGCTGGGGCCTGCAGCGACACAGGGCATACGCTGGCCACTCCACCCTGGTCTCCACCAGGCAGGGACTCCACTTCAGTTCTGGCATCCCTCATCTACAGCTTTCATCAGATTCGCAAAAGATTTGGACTCAAAGCAGAGTCACTGCTCTTAGAAAAGGGTGGTCAATAAATGATGGCTATTTGCTTTACAGATAAACTGAGCAACGTTCATGAGGCCAGAAGGGCATACAGCCAGCAGTAAAACTACATTTTATGACTCTTGGTTCCTTTCTTTTCACCTCCCTGCTAATATTTCCAGACAGTTTCTCAACCCCATACCCTGATTCTTTTTCAGCCCCAACTGAAAGAAAGAAGTGAGAAAGGAAACACGCATGTGATTTTCAGACTCTATGATCTTTTGACCACAAGCAGAAGGTTTTGCCTAGATCTAACCTTCCTTGAGGATGAGAGTAGAAGATCTAACTCTACTAGGGAGGATGAAGACAATGTTAAATTTGTATGCAGTACAGAGGAAAATCCCAAGAGGCAGTGTGTTTTCTCCAAGGTCACCTAACATATCTGCCACGGAAAGCACAAGTTTCTGACAAACTGGGATGTTTCCTTCCCTGGGCCAGGGGGTCTGCTCAAATCAAAAAAGACCATTTATAAGAAGCTCCTAGTCCACAATAGGTCAGGTAAGGAGAGAATTTAGGTTACCCGTGGTTATTTACAAATAAAATACGTGTTAGAAGGAAATGCCATATGATGGCCACACAGTTTAGAGAGAAATGGAAGAATAAAGAACAACCAAACTCATCAGGTTAATCTGACCAATCTAAACACACAGCACAGTCAGAATCCCAGGATATTGGAGTTCCATCTGGTTCTGGATGGTTTTGAGACCATAGCTAGAGGCAGAGGACTACTCTGCATTAGGCTGGGGCTGGAAACCAGAGGTCACCAAGGAAACTGCAGGGCAACTGTGGCTGGGAAGGCACCTGTCTGTGCTCCTGAGTAACCCTTCACTTCCAATCGAAATAAACCAGGAGGCTCTCACAGAGGGAACTGCTTACAAACCTTCAGAAAGAATCCAGTCTCTAAAGCAAACAAAACTTCTCACTGCTCGCAATTGCGTAACTGGCTGTAGCACTCTGAAAGTCTCCAGATTTATCTGTACTATAAATAACTAAGGAACCTCTTCCCCAGTGATATGGAAATACAACACTCATAAAGAGAAAGGGGAAGCAGTGTCGAGCTGCCCCCAACAACGTGGTACGTGCTCTGATGCCAAGTCTTTCAGAAGAAAGTGTCCAGGGGTAGTCCACTGTCACCCTCTCCCCACATCCTGGAAAAGCTGTGGATTCCAGACAAAAGCCACCCCCAGCTGAAAGCAGATTCAGCCACCACATTCAAAGCATAGAACAAATCACACTACAAAGGAGTTTATGTGAGCATCTCTTTCTTTCCTTGTTTTTAATTGTGATAAAGTACAGATAAAGTTTCCTATTCTAACCATTTTTAAGTGTGCAGTTCAGTATCATGAAGTATATTCACATTATTGTGTAGTCAATATCCAGAACTTTATCATCTTGCAAAACTGAAATTCTTTTTCTTTTTTTTTTTTTTTTTAAAAGATGACCGGTAAGGGGGTCTCAACCCTTGGCTTGGTGTTGTCAGCACCACGCTCTGCCAGTGAGCGAACCGGCCATCCCTATATAGGATCCGAACCCGCGGCCTTGGTGTTATCAGCACCACACTCTACCGAGTGAGCCACGGGCCGGCCCCTAAAACTGAAATTCTATATTCATTAAACAACTCCCCTTTTCCCTTTCCCTAGCCCTGGAAACCATCATTCTACTATTGTTTCTATGAATTTGATTTCTTTAGATACCTCATAAGTGGAATCATTTGTCTTTTTGTGATTAGCTTATTTCACTTAGCATAATGTCCTCAAAAGTCCAACCATGTGGCTGCATGTGTCAGAATTTTCTTCCTTTTTGAGGCTGAATAATATTTCATTGTATGTATGTATATGCCACATTTTGTTTATCCATTCAGAAAATCTACAGTATGGTTCTGTTGGTCTTGTGGCACAGAAGGTACGGAGCTCAATTTTTAATGGTTACGAGTTTATACCAAGAAAGAGAGAGACTTGACTGTATGATGTTTCTACTCTAGGAAAGGAAAAACAAGTTAACAAAGCTGAGGCTAAGCTCAATTCCATCAAGAAACGTCTAACCATCCCTCTCTACCTCAAAAATAAAAGTTTTGTTCACTGTATGTCCCCAGGTGTGGAAGGGCACTCAGCACATAGTTGGTAATCAGTAAGTATTTGTTGTCTGAATGAATCTAGAACAATGACTGGTCATAAGGAGAAAGTGCCCTATGTATGATGTTGATTACTTCAGCTCATCTGAATATACTGTTCAAGAAAGCATCGATGTGTACTGACATGGAAAAATCTCCAGTAACTACTGTTAGGTGAATCAGCTTACAGATCAATATATACAACATGGTTCTATTTATGTAAAAACAAATGCACTCATCAGAATAATAAATACATGTATATAAAAATACACCTAAATAATATGCTCCGACTCCAATGGTTTGGTTACCTCTGGATGGGCGGGGGAGTGGGTAAGAGATAGAAAAGGAACTTTCTGTTTGAATTTCTATTTGTTACATTTGAATTATTCACAACATAAAACTACTTTTGCACTGTTAGTGAAAAATTTTTAAGGAGAAAGACATCTGTAAGGATAATTTTCTATAAGAATACATAAATTTAATTTACCCTACATATACTTTTTCTCAGAAAGCTGCTGAAGAATGTGCTTCACCAAAATGATGGAAAAAATCATGAAAGACTAAGGCAGGGGATATAGGAAACAGGATCCAGCATAACAGAGGCAAAGGGAATCCCCATGATGATGGTAAAGAGAGACCCCAAAGTAACAGCTGTGCATCAAACATCGAAGGCAACCAGTATGGACTGGCAAAGCATGTTAGAAAGCTGTATTAGAAATAAAACTGATTAAAATAGCTGTTGCATTGGAAAACCTCAAGAGAAGATTTAGACAATTGGCAAAGAACTTGTGGTTAAATTGGGGAAAACTCCATAGAAAATTTTGCAAACACACACAGAAAGACAACTCTGGGGAAAAATAAAGTAAGAAAGGAAAAGTAATCATTAGCATACTACATAACTCAGCTCTTAATAGCATACAGAGAGGCATAATAATGGTGACCTAAGTAAACATTGACCTAACCAAAAATCATGAAATAACTATATTCAGAAAATAAATGGAAGAAAATGTGTGTGAGTGGTACTGGCAAGAAAGCAAAAGTTAGTTAAATCCACACATTCTGTGCTGGGAAGTTAATGCATGATGATTAAACCTGAAAAATCAAGAAGAAGCAATTATAACCATTACTTAGAGACAACAATAAATAGCAACTAGCTAAAGAGATGAATATGATTACTTCTCCTGAAAAGAGAGAGAGATGACATATATCAGGTTGCAGTATTTACCAAATGCTTGATAGTTTTGGCATAGGTGTTCTGCCAAAAACTTTTAGCTATGATAGAGAATTGTAAATGGAAAAGATAAGACCAAAATTTGTGGCAAATTGCCAATATATTACGTGGTTCTCTGGGGTACAATTAACTCAAATGCTATTCATGCCCTTGTCTACCCAGACAACTTTACCAAAGGGTACTAGTCCCCGATTTGGGCCCCCCAAAAGGAAGCTCATGCTGAGTCCAATCCAGATGGTTACAACCCCTGGTGGGAAACGCGGACTCTTACAGTCAAGCCCAGATGCCAGTCTAGTTAAAATACATAATGCTTTATCAGTCGTGGAAGAATCCAAAGGAAATGACAAAATGAAACATCGAAATTTGTATACAGAAGAAAAGAAACTGAAGAACCTGTTTCCCACTTTGGCAGTGAAGGGTGATCCACCCTCTTCCCAGAACAAATGATCACACCCACGTGTATGGCTGGAACATCCACGTCCTCAGCGTTTTAAAGCAGGGACCTGGGTTCAAATCTCAACTCTACTTTTCTCCCTCAGCTTCATTTTCCTCACCCGTCAACCGGTGGGAGGAGTTACTTAGGCCTTACGTGGGATTAATGCCAGTCCGAAGTAGTTAAGAATTGCACTCTCACAACCTGCTACACACGTTAGGCATTATTCTAAGTGCATATGGCATGTAGCATCTCATTTAATCTTCACATTAGAAATAGCAGTAGCCCATTTTCCAGATGAGGAAGCCAAAGCACAGAGGTTAAGTAACTTGCTAGCGGAGGAGCTGAGATGCTAATGCAGCCTACGGGGCTCCAGGGAACCTGCTCTTATCAACCCGACGCGGCTGAGACGAGCTGAGGTTGGTGGAGCATTCCGGGCTATGCCTGAAATGCAGCGTGCTCGACCCATGGCGCTTATTGCTCATGCACAGTGCGTGCAGGTCCAACCACAGTAGGTAAGTGGTGGCCAGTCTGAGGTCTGGCCGCCTCGCGGGAGGTCGAGGCACGGCCCGGACCTGCACTCCTCTCGGTGACCCCGTGAGCTCCCTGCCGGCGGGCGGCGCTTACCTTGACCAGCACCCGCATCGCTCCCGGGCTCCGGCGCGCACGGGCGCAGACGGCGGCGGGGACACCGCTCCTGCCGCCTGCGAGCGCCGCCCCCGCGGGCTCGTTCCGGTCCCCGCCCGCCAGCCGCTCAGCAGGGCGCCCTTCCTGCTCCCGGCTCTCGGTTCAGGCCACTCCGGACTCCTCTCCCGCCAGCCCGGAGCGAAAGCACCGAGCTGCCTCCTCTCCCGGGTGTTCCCCACCGCCCCGAGCTGCACCTCCGACCCCCGTTAGGTTTCCGCTCTGGCCCCTTTGCGGCTCCTAGAACAGGGGCTGCGGGCTCTGCCCTCGGGTAGAGTGCCCTACAGCCCAAAGTGTGATAATCATCTTCGGGAGGAGACCAGAGGACTTGAAAGCGATATGTCGTCAATCCTAGCTATTCTAGATCCTAGCAGATACCCGTGTGCCTGACCCATCCCCAGCCACCTAGGGCCCTGGGCTCAGATCTGGTGAATCCCCTAAGGCCGGTGGCCGCTGGCCCTGAGCAGCCTGAGCCTACCTGTGAACTCTCCGCCGCAGGTAAGGTTTTCATCCTTGAATGGCAGGCCTTGCTACCAAAGCCTGGTCTGAGCTTTTGAATGTGGAGTCAGAAAATCTGGGCTCCACCTCCACACACTGACTTTTACAGCCCAGCCGTGTGGATTTGTCACAATACCTTTTGGCTCAGTTGCCACCTGTGTAGAAAGGAAGGTGACTCTAACCTTACTTAAATCAAGGGTAGCGAGGGTCAAATGGGATGTTCATAGTCATCACAGACATTTTATGGTGTGGTATTGTTCTTGAAGCTTCAGTGCGGTGGGGTGCAGAAGCCTGAGACTTAAGCTAATAGCACTGCTTTGACTATCTGTGAGTTACTGGACATATCAAGTGACTCTGTGGGCCTCGGTTTACTGATCCATGCCGTGGAAATAATAGTGAAAAAAAAAAACCCTACCTCTCTCACGATGTTGTACTCAACAAAGGATTTCTGGGATGGGGTCCAGGAGTCTGCCTCTTTCACAATATAATGTGTTTTATGTGTAAAGTGCCATTCAAATGCTTTTGTTATTTCTGTTATTTTCGGTGGGTTTCTCTGGCTGGGTAATCTTGATTAAGGCTGTGGTCATTGATTTGGGGTGGATCCCAGTATGTTGGCAGAAGTGACACAAAGCACATGGGCAAGCTGATGCTCAGGTTATTACAGGTGTTGTAATTAACAATGCTGGGCACTCATCTCTGACAACTGATTAAAATTAGGGGCACCTACCCGTTTAGTCTATTTTGAATTTTTGCCCCATGAGCTCACATTTGCAGACACGGTTAACAGGGTTTGGTTTTGTTTTTTTCAAATTTCTCAAAGTGGTTTTCATGAGCATTTTTTTGTTTATTAGAAAATTGGAAACTCTCATATGTTTATGCATATTTTATTGTTTTTCTATTAACACATTTAATCTTTCCTCTCCTGACACGTCCTTCAGAGAGTTAATAATCTATAAACAGTGAACAGGTGCAGAAGCTCTTCTAAGGCAAGTAAGTATTTGTGTCCAACATACATCTTCCCTGCTAGGTCTCTCAGTGCTCCGGACTGAGATTGCTCAGAAATCTGCAGACCCACGAAGAAGACTAGACATGGTGCACTATGACTATGATCTTCTAGTTTATTTCTTTGGTCAATTTACATGTTGGGATGTTTGTATATTCTTTTCAGATCAAGATTCAAGGCACTTAGAACCTAAAATACCAGGGTAATTCCAGATGCTTAAGGCTGATCTGCTAATTTACAAGCTGTCTTTAGTTCCCAAGCTGTACCAGAAACCCCTGAGGCATTTGTTGATTCCCAGACTCCACCCACCCCACCCAGATTTCTTGTATCAGGATTTCTGGGATGGGGCCCAGGAGTCTGTATCTTTCACAAGCCCCTGAATCAATTGAACATTGCCTATAAAAGTCTTCTGGCCACAACTATACCTATGCCCAGGGCTAGCTATGAAATTTAAATTTTAGAATGTTCATTTGTAGTCAAGTATGGTCTGATTCAGGCCAACAAGTATTTCCTGAGCACAGACTGTTTGTCAGAGATCATGCTGGGCACCAGGAAAACAATGATGAATAAGACATTGTCCAGTCTTCAAGGAGCTTGAGTTTGTAGGAGGATGAACAATTAAACATGAAAATGTACCTGGGGAACCATTGGTAACTCTCATCAACACAAACAGTATTTTATTTTCCCATTCATTGCCACCCGCCCCCCCATCACTTCCTTCTCCTGTTTTTTCTTCTCTTTTTTCTGACCTTCCAATTTTACCCTGGTTTTCTAGATTTTCAAGCCTTCTAGTGGGCCATCTGGACATTGTAAATGCTTGAGTCCTAGTCTAACATGGTTTTAAGATACTGTTGTGGCAGAGAAAAAGAGAAAAAAAAGATCCTGCTCTATCTTACAAGACCAACCTAATGATTTCGAAATGGGGTGAACAGCTGATTTTTCAGCTGAGAAAAATAGGTGTGACAATTTTATTTTTTTAATGTGTGAAGATCTGAATCAGTCCCAATAATTGAAGGTCACTACAGTGGATTGAATGGCCCCCCAAAGTCATTGAAGCTTAATCCCCACTGTAACTGTTGAGGGTGGGAAATCCTATTATGATAAGTGAAAGGTGGGGCCTTGAAGAGGTGATTAGATTAAGAACCATGCCCTGGTTCATAGGCGTGGTTCTGAGGGCTTTAAAAGGAGAGTGAAGGTCTTTCTCTGCTCCACCATTTTCTGCCATGTGAGACCACTGTGTTGCTGTAAAGCTGCCATCAAAGAAGACTCTCATCAGATGTGTTCCCTGGACTTTAGACTCCCCAGCCTCTGAAACTGTAAGAAATAAATTTCATTTTCTTACAAATCACCCACTTCCAGGTATTGTGTTACAAGCAGCAGAAATGGACAAATACAGCCACTAATGGGTAGTTTCCTTTTTTTTTTTTTTTTTTAAAAGATGACCGGTAAGGGGATCTTAACCCTCGACTTGATGTTGTCAGCACCATGCTCAGCCAGTGAGCTAACCGACCATCCCTGTATGGGATCCGAACCCGGGGCCTTGGTGTTATCAGCACCACACTCTCCCAAGTGAGCCATGGGCCGGCCCGGTAGTTTCTAATATACACGCTACTCCAGAAGAAAGTTGTTTTGGGCTTGGATTCGCTTTTGGTTTTTGCTTTTGCATGGGGGTAAGTGTTGTTGGGGGTTTTGCACAGTAATACTTCCCAGCCTCTCTGGATAGCCAGGGGAAAAAATGACAAATAGCTCTATTTCTTTGTACCAAGATAAAAAAGCACCTGGGAAACCTCTTGCCCAGCCCATCATGGTATATTATCATCTTTTGCTCGTGGTCTTCACTTTTGATCACCACTAGTTTCCCTTCAGAAGCATAAAGGAAATGAATAAATGCAGTGGTGTTCTGAAAGGGGTCATGGAAACAGTGATAAGCCCACATGGCGTTCCATGAGTGGGGAGAGTGTAAAGGTGTGGGTTACTAATTTGAGAAGTCGGGTGAAGGTGCATTGCCTATAATGGTGATGAAATTCAGTTCTTCCATTCCATTCCTGTGTAACCATTTCTGTTTTCAGACCTTCCTATTCAAACCCAAAGTGTTATGTTTGAATACCATCCATTCATTCTCCTAAACTCCCGCAAATCAAATTTTCTTCTGAAAGGAAGCAATGTATTTTCTTTTGCTTGCTGAATAATTTTTTCTCTTATTCCTGGCTTCTGCAAGAGTATGTTCCAAATTTGTTTGTCTGTTTGCTGTGAAAACAGATAATTTCTCCTGTTATATAAGCAAAGATTAAAATATTCATGGTTGGCAAGATGGAGAAATAGTAACCCTCAAATACTTTTTGTGGGAGTTTAAAATGATACCCTTTTTAAAGGCATTTTAGCAATCTGGATTCAAGGCATGTCTTTTTTCATCACAACTCCAGTCCTAGGACTTCAGAAACACAGAAATGTGTGTAAGAATATATACTCTGCTTTCTCTTCAGATCCTATAAACTTTTTACCTTTTAGATATTTGTGTAAGAATATATGTTGTTGGGCCGGCCCGGTGGCGCACTGGAGGGTGCACCGCTTGGGAGCGCGGCGGCGCTCCCACCATGGGTTCGGATCCCATGTGGAGACCGGTTCCCGCTCACTGGCTGAGCGTGGTGTGGGCGCAACACCGAGGGTTGCGATCCCGTTGCCGGTCAGTAAAAAAGACAAAAAGAAAAAAAAAGAATATATGTTGTAGCTCTCTTTGTAACAATGATAAATTGTTAATATTCTAAACAGCCATCAGTAGATGTTTAAGTAAATAATCTATGGTGTTATTTAATAAATGCTTTAAAAAATGTTTTAAATCTATATGCTGCTTTAAAAAAAAGTTTTAGGTCTAAATGTACAGACAGGGAAAGGGAAAAATAGCAAGTAGTAAAAGTAAATATTCCATTTTTAAAAATTTATATGTGTAGGTTGTAATATTCACAGGAAAGTTCTAGTAGAATACATGCCAAATTGTACTGTTAACAGGAAAGACACACTTATACTAAAAAAAAAAAAATATTGTTGCTTGTCTAAAATTCAAATTTAACTGGGCATCTTGTCACAAAAGGTTGTTACACCAGCCTACATTGGTAGCTTCAGGCAGCTGAGGGTGCCCTTTAAAAGTGTCAGTTACAAACATCTATAAACATTGACACCAAGCCTGAGCTCCTTTAGGGCTTTTCTGCACCTTCACAATGAACTTTGAGTGATTCTTAAAGGAAAGAAGGGAGGGATGTTAAAATTAGGAGAGTGCCTCTAAGAAAGTGCTAGGCAAGCTGATAGATATACATCTTCTTCAGCTTCCTTAAACAAAGTTGATACTGCAGATTGCTGAATGAACACAAACGCCTCCCATCCCAGTAGGCACACCTCTTTACAATGTGGCCTTGCAACAACCCTCCCATGCAAAGGCACTCTCTCTTCCACATCCATGAGTCTGAATTGGATTCGTGGCCAAAAAACTGTGGCAAAAATGACATGGCTTAAGTCCCTGAGCCGAAGCCTCAAATGCTTCTGTGGCTTCCACCTTCTCCCCATTGTAAGGCTGCTCTAAGAAATTCTACCTGTAAGGAATTCCTCAGACCACCCAGCCAACCCTCAGAGTCATGAAAAATAGTAAATGGGTGTTATTTTAAGCCATTAAATTTGGGGTCATTTGTCATGAGACAATTTATTTTCTCATTGCTTTCCCTCAAGTTTTGCTTCACAAAAATCTCTGTGAGGATTAAGTGAGGGTCAGAAATCTCGACCCTGAGTATTACTAGTCTCTAAGGTGGTGTGAAGCCAGTGAAATTTTGAACACAGGCCTGTGTGGCTATACGGGTTCATTGTTTTTTTCTAATGTACATTGAGCATAATGAAGGTGGAGAACTGTATGAATCAGGACTTGGTTTTTATTACTTGTACATTTTTTTTTTCTTTTTTTGGTGGCTGGCCATTAAGGGGACCTTACCTCAACTGGAACATGGTGTTAGCAGCAGCACAACCTAACCGGCCAGCCCTATTACTTGTACATATTAAAATTACAAATACATTTATTTCACAAGAAACATCTACCAGTACTAAATTTTTAACTTACACCTTTTTCTTGATTAAGTTACTTTTAAGGAAACAATATTCAATCTATAACTATTCTCCCTACAAGGAGAACCACAGTCGTTAATCCATGAAACAAGTTCTCTAATAGCTCAAGGAACTGGGCTTTTCCATTTCAGGTGAGAAAACTAGAGGACAAAAAATAAGTAACTTAACCAGGAGGAACCAACGAAGTGAAGCTTTCACACCTGACTCATTTATCTAGCAATTTTTTCTTTTCAACTTTTTATTTTGAACTGAATATAGCTCCATAAGAAGTTGTAAAAGTCATTTATAGACTCCATTGAGCCTAAATGGGAGCCTTTTAAAATATTTTAAATTTTATATATTTTAAAATTAAATATCTTAAATATTTCTCTTGAAATATTCTTTACATCATCAGCGTGTGTCATGAATAAAACAGGAAAGAAATGAATACTTATTGGGCACCTACTGCATGCTAGGCACTTTGTTAAATGCCTTATTTTTATTTAACACATTATTACCCACTATTTTATAAGATAACTGAATTTCAGAAAAGTCAAATACTTGTCCAGAGTCACAGACTGAATAAGTGGCAGAGTTGGAATTCCAAGGATGGTTTCTTTTTTTTTTTTAAAGATGACCGGTAAGGGGATCTTAACCCTTGACTTGGTGTTGTC